CTTTACCCACACCCCTAATGTCTAGTCATCTGGGATGAGGTCAGGGGGATGTTAGTCAGAGAGTTGGCCATCATGGTGTATGTGAACTTCTGTGTGGGTGCTCCACAGGGTAATTTATGGGAAACAAGCACAAACGGCAGTTAAAGTGAGGGAGAGGAAGGGAGAGAGGGTGATGATGGAATAAGAAGATCAAAAGCAGAATAGAGATGAGATAATGAGGAGGGATACGAGTGAGACAGTAATATTGGCATTGTTTCCTTCAGCTACTCATGAGTTCAGTCACAGGAAAAACCAATTAAATGTGTTCAGAGAGAAACAACAGCATCATGTTTTTGCTGCAGCTTAACATGTTTCAACCACACAAAGAAAACAACTGAAAACATTTGTTCATCCAAAAGTCATCATTTACTCAACATTTGCTATAACATGGGAGTGAGAAAATGATGACTGAAGTTTCATTTTTTGGGGTTCCTTGAAAAGCATGAAACTTCTTTCGCAAACCATTTGTCTTCCGTGATGGGGTGTATTTCCAAATGAATCAGAAGTTGGCATTTGATTGGATTGTAACAGACAGCCGATTATATTGTTGGTTAATATTATTTTAGCCCACTCGTGCGGCATTTGTTACGTAAGAAAAATGAAAGTAATTTTGGAGGCAGAAAAAGTAATACATTTGATGAGAGATCATGGAAACTCTTCTAGAACAGCATGCACCGATGAATCATCCATAATTAGACCAGAGACATTTTATTAAGAAAGTGAATAGTCGGTTTTGATTTCCTGTTGTCAAGCTCAATCATACTGAGGGGTCGTTCACACAGGATGCATTGTTGACGGACATGTTTTTGCTCGCATATCACGTCTTTTGCAGTGTATCGCACATGACACAGCACTCTTTTTGTTAAATCCTTCTTTAGACTGTACTTTTTTAACTCCACCCCCCTGCATATCTCATTTTAAACACAAATACGCATCTTGTGTTGTGTGAACAGCCCCTAAAGTTATTCTTACACAATAATTTTACACAAAAATTGTTCTTACGCAATAATTACCACTTGTTATGTTTGATAACCACAGTGGCTTCAGAAGTATTTGAATACATTTAAACACTCAAGTCATATTAAAAATGTATCAGTGTCATTGTATTATGCAGATTTAAGTCGCATCTGCAAACACATTATGCTTTTTAAGTAATACCGGTACTAATTTTTTGAGCCAGTGTTTTTGAGCTATATTTCTTTAAAACAAATGTGACTTGGTTTGATATTTTGTTATATAATGCCAGTGCATTCATACATTTTTAAATATGGCTTAACTGTTCAAATACTTTTTCGAGCCGCTGTTTGTCTAAAATGATTCATAAGCCTCAATGGTTGGCTTGTAAGTCAGTAGGATGGAAAGATCCAGACTGCACCTGCGGGCTGAAAACGTACAGTTAAATACAGCAGCTGCCGTAATACGGAACTAAATAATTCAGGTGGAAACTCACTGAGAAACATTGGCCAACAGACAGGCATCCATTATAATGAATGGGAGGTGTTCTGGGTGTCCCATTAGGAGGATCATCTGCTGTGATGACAGATAACAGCAGGATGCTCACTATCACAAATGGAGTTTGTACCGCTGTGGCTCCTCAACATAAAGAATAAAAAGTACTTTAAGCACAGACATAGGAGTAAGGGAGAGTAGTTTGTATTTAAAGATTGCAATCAGGATTGCTATGTGGAAAAATAAACGAGCTTGATTTAATTACACCATCAGTTTAGGCTTGTAAGTGTGTGTGTTAGCCGGGAGTGGTCATTAAAGATAGCCGTTTCAATCAGTGCCCGCTGTAATGAAGTGGTAGATCACTGCTACTCTCTGATTGTAGTTTAAATTTTTTTACTTACTGCACTTTGTTTGGATATGGCAGAAAAGTGGCAGAGAAAACGCATACGCACACATGCTCGGTTTCCAGTTTTTACACACAGGGGTCAGCAAAGTGCTATTTTGTTCGAGAGTACCTCTTGGTGGTTTTTGTAGGATATTCGTTTATGCTTACAGGAATGTTTCAGGAAGAAAGTGATGTGCTTTTTTTTTCCTCCATGCACATTCTGTCTTTGTCTGTGAGCATTTATAGTCTTGTTATTCAAATAAATCCGTTGGATAAATGACAGAAGGACGACAAGCATTAAGACTGTAATGAGCTATGATTGAGTTGAAATAAAGTCATGGGGTATTCAGGTCTAATGTTGCATAACAACATTTGATTTTCTTGTTAGAACTCACTCACTCTCTGCAATTAACATGGATATAAAT